GTCGATGCTACACTGCCATCATGTGGTCATGATGCAGAACTGCAGCTGGACGTAACGTATCACTGCAGAGATCAGACAGACTGATCAGAACCAGAACTTTTAGCATGGTCCCGGTTAGGGTGGGCCTCTGAAGTCTTGCACAACAAATACAATCATTTTATACGATTTAAAGGTTTTAATATATTTAGTTCATCCTGTTTTCATTATTGGTCCTTTTTTCATAACTTCTGACAAGCTCGAACATCAACCTCTGGACCAAATCCTGTCTGATGGGAAGTCTGTCTGGTCTTGATGTTTGGATCTAATGCCACTTTGTTTTCATTTAGTTCTGGAGAATTTCAGGCTCTCTATAATTTGGTATTTTCTTTCAACCTAGAAATGACTCCTGGATCAGAGCTTCTGGGTTATATCCGATTAAAAGAAGGGTTTCCTTTCCTTGTAGCTAACCGCTCATCCAGGAGGAGTATGTTGTTTGAGTTAGTGACTTCATGCAATCTGCTGAGTTTCCTTGCATAGAAACCTTATAACAAATCTGGATAGTAAAATGATTTTAACTGCATTGTTTAATAACTTTGACATCTTGCAACAGATGAACATCCATGCATCCATTTTCCATCATGCTTATCCCAAGCAGGTTCACGAGGGTTGCTGGTGTCTATCTCCAGTTGTCTACAGGCGAGGCGGGGTACATCCTGGAGAGGTCGCCAGTCCATTGCAGGGCAACTCAGAGACACACAGGACAAACAACCACCCATGGACACACTCACACCTGAGGAGAATGTAGAGAAATTAACCTAACAGTCATGTTTTGGGACTGTGGGTGGAAGTCGGAGTACCCGGAGAGAACCCACGCATGCTCAGGGAGAACATGCAAACACCAAGCAGGAAGACCCCAGGCAAGGAATCGAATCCCAAACCTCATTGCGAGGTGGCTGCGCTACCCACTGCACCACTGAGCAGCCAACACAGATGAACATGACTTCTATTTTTGTTTTCTGCATGATTTGATTAATTAACTTTGAAAAATGCCTTAAGATGATATTTGTTGCCAATTATGACTTTATATATGAATAAACTGAAATGAACAATAGATTTTTTTCTAATTCTCACTCCTATAGATGCTGAGCTCTGAAATGGTGGTAAAATGAGATTGTAGCGCCCTCCAGTGGAGCTCGATGAAACATCTTAGAGTTCATGAAGCCTTCCTCTCTTGCAGCCTATAACACTTTAGCTTTAAGTTGTAATGATCCAGAAAACTGAGTAAGTTCTCTGATTTGTTGCCACTTGAGTAAAGATGAAAAATTATATATACATTTTTAAAATAGACAATAAAGATTTTGTGATTTAAAAAGATTATTTGTTTTGGAAAAAGAGAAAAAAACGAGCTTTTTTAAATTTTCTTTAATAAAAATATTAATTTAGTGAGCAGTAAAATTTGAAATTCAAATCTGTTCAGCGTTTGGGCCTTTTACATGGTAGAATGGATGTTAAAATAATAAATAGTGACAGAGCAACCCAAAAACGCTCTGGAAATGAGTAGAAAATTATTAAAATAAGTGTATTTACTCTCAATTTGAGTAGGTAAAGATGATCTGCCAATGGAATGAGCATTGTTACCCTGAAAATGAGATAATTAGATAATATGCACATAAAATTAAGATGCTGCAGTTGGGTTTTTTTCATATTTCTAATGTAAATTGTCGTATTTCATTGGCAAGTATCTCACCTATCTGCTCAATTTAAGAAAATATTCACTTTCAGAAAAAAATAGTTACTTAGATTTACATTTTTTTGCAGTGAGCAAAGAGGGGACGGTTGTGATTTATAGAACAGATTGGAATATTTTATTTTTCAATATTTTTTAGGGGGTAGCATAAAAATGGATACTTGTGTTGCATCAGAATAGAATAGAAAAAATAGAAACATTTCTGCTAGCTAGTATGTTCTCCTGCTGCATATAGATAGAACAGTATATAACTGTAGAAAAAAAACACTTTTTTTAGGTGCAATTAAGAAATTCAGGTGCAACCAGCAACAAAGTGAAAGTCAGTTTGGAGGGTTCAGCTTTGAATAAAGGTTATGAAAATACAGAAAAAGAAAAAGAGACTGTATAGTAAGGAAATTAATGTTAATTAGTATTAACTACAGCCTATGTGAACATTGAACAGTCACCTGGGTGTAAAGTTGGAGATACTCAGAGACAGAGCTGCATTTGATTAAATATTTATTCTAGTTTATAATACATAACATCAGAACCTATCAACTGGTCTGTTTCTCTAGATGCTTTTTATGTGGTTTATAGATGAGGACAAATCTGCAGAAGCATATTGCATTCACTGTAGATTTTGATACATAATTCTGCTGTCTTGTTATTGTCTTTTTAGCTGTATATCTACCAGCCAGTCTATGGGCTGTTTTTAGTACGTTACCTCCCCATTCCTAAGGAGTGGACCCGTTCTTCCGGTGCAATTTGCACGTTTTCTAAACCAAAACAAGGCTTTGTTTTGATCCACTCTATAAAGCCTCAAACTCAAGGCTATTTCTCACATTTTGAATTAAAAAAGCTTCCTGGATGGGAAGCAAAATGTCTTCAAACTGGAAACAAAGTGGATTATTGTTTTTTCTTTTTACTTTTTTGGAATAACTATGACCTGGATGACTGAGAATCTTCACCAGCACTAAGAATGTTTTACTCTGTGTCTTGGTATGAACTGTTGAATGTTTATATTGGTGCCTCTTTTGTTTTGCAGCTTAATACCTATAGGTATAAATAAAGCCAACTTAACTTCAGGATACTCAACCAAGAAATAATCACATCGACACAGAGATGGTTCTACACACTCTACGCCAACTATTATTTATTTGAATTTAGACAATCTTTATCTGTTTTATCAGAAATCCTTTAACTTCAATAGAAATGTTATTCATTTCCACGCTTTTAACTCGCTAAAACAATGAGGCCTTTTGTTGCGGCCTTCTGTTTGGCTTTGTACACACACACTAACTTTACTTATTTATAGTAAAAGGATAGACAAAATAATTACTAAAAATGTCTTGAATGAAGCAGAATGATGAAAAAGGGGTCCCTATGTCCTCCAGCAGTCTAAGCCTATAGCAGCAGAACTATAGAGATAGCTCAGGATAATCTGTGATGCTGTGGGCTGGTTTCTCCTCTGAATCTCCAGGAAAGCTTGGTAGACGGTGGCAGATTGTATTGTGAAACTTTCTGAATTAGCAGATTTTGATACATAATTCTCAGGATAGCTGTTTGGTGTATTTCTTATTCGAAAAAGTCATGTGTTGAAATAATTTCTGTTATAGATATATAACATGCCATTATATATCTATAACATGAAAAAAATAAAAACACAATACGATAAAACATTGGGGATCAACTGATCTATCTTCAAGCATCACGTGACAACCATGACCAAGACTTCTATAATACAAAGCCAGTCAGACATCCACCCACACAGAAAAGATCCACAACATAAACCAGAGTGTTCTAGAAACACCAACATAATACAATACAACATAGAGGCAGACAGGCAGTTGTTCAAGAATGAATACATGAAAGTTCTGCAGTGTTTAAGAATTCACTGCGAGGTGGCATGTAGGCAATGAAATGAAATAATGTAAACAGATGCAAAACTCCATCATGCAGCGCAACACATTTTTGCAAAATACATAAATTGGCAAAATAAAGAGGAACATCGTAGTTTGGTTTAAAGAAAGCAATTTAGTTTTATTAAAATTTATGTTTGTTGCAAGGATGGTCATGACAAGGAAGGGCTATACTGTATATACTGCATGCATCATTTAGACAGTTAACAATATATTACTTCTTGAGCTCTTTCAGTTATTTACTGTCACAGTTAGGAGCTTCGGCTGGAGAGGAAGTATTGGGGCCGGTATGATTTAAGGAGGGCCGGCCCTCACACGGCCCACCACAGATTACCAGTCTGAGCATTATATATATAATATATATCACCGTAACAATATAATAAATACATGTATATTACATTTACATAATCAATTTAGCACTTTTGGCACATCAGTATTATTTTGCTCCATTAACACATTAATTTTATTGTGATTGATTTGTATAATATGTTATATTACATGATTTATAGACTTTATTGACTTCATAATGACTATGCAATTTGATGTGCCTATTTTTTTATTATAAGTTATAGTAATCTACTGATGTTATGAAACAGCCAGTGTGTGTCAAAGTGTTGAATTTATATTTATTTTAAAATTTGAAGTCCCCCCTTAAAATCAGAACATCAGCGTTGTTTGATGCTGTAGCGCACAGATTGTTTACATTGAGATGCGGTCTACCTAGGGAGTACCAATATGGCGGCCAGTGGCTTCACTTCAAATCCTTACTACCAACGGGCGATCAGCAATCCAGGGAATAAATAGAGATCAGAGGGCAGGACCTTATTGGAATGGAAAAAGAGGTTGAGCGAAGATAAGAAAGGAAGAGGATTATATAAGGTACAAAAATCAGTATTAAATAAAAATATTAATGAGAGAAACAGAAGGGAAGAAGTAAAAATGATCAGATTAAAGTGGGTCAGACCTATTTAAAGGACAATTTATATTTAATAGGGAGGAAAAATAATGATAAATGTGAAGGAAGTGGAGAAAAATAAACTTATGAACATGAAAGGGAGAAATTAAGAAGAATGATTGGAAGGACAGACCAAGAATGGAGACTTAAAGGAATATTGGAATATAATGAAGGAAATATAAAGGATATTTACTGATTAAGAAAAGCAGGATTGATTTATTTACAGAATACAAAATAAAAAAAAAATAGAATTTGATAGATGTAATGTTGCTACACACTCATGTACAGTAGATGGCGGTATTTAACTTAAGTTGATTGCGATCCGACATAATAGAAAAGAAGAAGAAGACGTTCTTGGATCCGCCAGCAGGGGGAGCTACTGTCGGCTACTTCTCCGAAACACCAAATAAGGAAATGACGTTGTGAGCGTGTGGCGATGTCCGCAAATAGTAAGTGGGTGAAACACGTTGAGGAGAACCATCAGAGTCTCTGCGGACACTAAACCAGGTTAGTTTAACCCGGTTTAAAGCCGCTCAGAACCAGAAAGCTGCTCTTTCACCGACAGGAGGGAAGCTAACGGCGGCTAACGGCTAAAAGCGGCAGTTTGCTGTTAAACCAGCAGGAACTGAAGAGGTTTGGAGCTTTGAAGCGACTTTTTAAAAACTCCTTTTTCTCACCTATTTTCCTAAATGTTAAATAATACATATTTAAAGCCTCTAACAGAAAGGTTAGGTCAGAACTGTAAGCTGAAAATCACTGAAGCTCATTAAGATCATGATGGCTGATGACAGCTGGGTTCCTTCCTGCCAAATATGGTCAAGGTTACTGCTTGACTTCCTGATTGACAGGATCTGATCCCACCTGTCAGAGGGCGGGATGTACCAGACCGGATCTGAGCTGTGGACCCCTCCATCCATCCTCCTCCTGTGTTCATGCTTTATAAATGACCCAGAAAGGATGGAGGATGTTTACTGATGAATGTTTCTTAAGTGCATCTGCCTTTTGGACTTTGACAGGATGGGGGACATTGTGGAGGACCAGGCCAGCTTTTATTCCAACGCAGAAGACTACTGGAAGGAGGTGGCCCCCACCGTGGACGGGATGCTGGGAGGATACGGCAGCATCTCCAGCATCGACATCAACGGATCCAAGGCTTTCCTGAAGAAATTCCTCGGGGTAAGACGCTCATGTTCTCTGGAGCCGTTCTGTGTCCCAGATCCCGTCCAACCGTCTGCGTTCGACGTCTTCTGCAGGAAGGCGAAGGGAAGACGGGGAAAGGCTGCGCTCTGGATTGTGGAGCGGGAATCGGCAGGATCACCAAGCGGCTGCTGCTGCCTCTGTTCAGAACCGTGGACCTGGTAGACGTCACCAAGGAGTTCCTGGATAAAGCCAGGTCCTACCTGGGGGACGATGGGAAGAGGGTGGGGAACTACTTCTGCTGTGGCCTGCAGGAGTTTGTGCCGGAGGTGGGGCGGTATGACGTCATCTGGATCCAGTGGGTCATCGGTGAGTCGGGGAAAACTGGACCCATGATTCTGCTTTAGTTCTGACCCGATATCGGTCTCAGCATTTCATTTCAAACACGAACTATATTACAACAAAAGTAGAAACACTGGAGGAAAACATTTAACATTTTGACTGAGATCTGAAAAGTGTGGCGTGCATTTAACTAGCCAATAAAAAGGAAGAGTTGCTGAAAGGTTCCTTAATTCCAATAAATACATCAGAGAAAATGTTTTTAAGACTATATTTCTGTTTTAATGAATAACAATTTTTATTGGACCAATTTAAAAACAGCTTTAAAAACACAGATCCTACATACCGTTAATTCAATTCAGTTTATTTCTATACCGCCAATTCACATCATGTCATCTTAAAGCACTTTACAGTTCAACCAGATCATCCAGTCAGATTGATTCAGTTTTCTATCGAAGGGAAACCAGCTGATTGCATCGACTCATTGACTCTTCAGCAATCCCTCACTCTAATCATGCTTGTAGCGACAGTGGAGAGGAAAAACTCCCTTTGAACAGGAAGAAACCTCCAGCAGAACCAGGCTCAGTGTGAGCGGCCATCTGCTGAGGCCCACTGGGGTTCAAGGAGACAGAAGCAGACATAGAAAAAGAAGCATAGATACAAAAGGCGGCCCCATTCAGGAAACTCACAGCCAGGCAGACGAGCTCGGAGCCAGCTCCCATGTCAGAGGATGAAGAGAGCACATCCAGTTAGTCACAGTCAGAAAAACAGGACTACACTGAAAAACAGGCCAAGCTCCAACATCTAGAAACAAAGGTGTTGATGGCAGCAGCACAGCTGATATTTCTCTCCAGGATGGAGTCACAGCCAAACAGGAACAGACCAGATGAAGCTACTATGAGAAAAAGCAGAGAGAGCAGAACGTTAGAGATTGAACTAATAGATTCTGCAGAGTGGGAGAATAGAGATAGAATGAAGCAGAATGATGAAAAAGGGGTCCCTATGTCCTCCAGCGGTTGAAGCCTATAGCAGCATAACTAACTTTTTTTGCCAAAAACAAAAGTTTTAAGCCAACCCTTAAAATTAAACAGGGTGTATGCCTCAAGGACTTAAACTAGTCGTAGTAGGCTACTAGTAGCCTGATAACTAAAAGATCTGCCTCCCATTCTACTTTTAGAAATTCTAGGAACCACTAGTAAATCATTTACTCCCTCCATGCTGTTTGTGTGACTCCTTATTGGGCTTTATTTCTTCTGCTCCAGGTCACCTGACAGACGACCACCTGGTGGACTTCCTGCAGCGCTGCCAGAAAGCCCTTCGGCCCAACGGACTCATCATCATCAAAGACAACGTGTCGTACGAAGGCGTTGTCCCCGACGAGGTGGACAGCAGCGTGTGCAGAGACCTGGACATCGTCCGGCGCCTGGTGGGCCAGGCGGGCCTCCGGATCGTCCACGAGGAGCAGCAGCTCAACTTCCCCAAAGAGATCTACCAGGTCCACACTCTGGCCCTCAGATAGGAGGGCGGCGCCGGTTCCACCGAGCCGTGACGGGTCTTCATCTCAGACTGCCGGGAAAGCAGAGCGGCCACAGCAGCTGCCGATCTGAGGTCTGTTCCACCGAGCAGCGAGGAGACATCGCCACAGCAACAGATGCTTGAAACGGAACCGCCTTCGGCTCAGTTCCAGTTTTGAGGAAACGGTTCCTGGATTTGATGTAAAATACTTTTAATGATAGAGACAATTTTTTTCTCCAGAAAGTTTTTTATTAAAACGAATTTTCAGAAAAAGATTCATGAGTTTGGATCCGATATTCACTTCAAATGTTCCTGCACCAAAGATGAGAAATCCCAAACCGGATCAACCTGCTGCTTTCATCTGGTCCAGATCCAGAACCGGGAACGCTCACTGGACTTCCGACTTCCTATTTGCTCACTGGACTCCCCGTTTGATGACGCTAATGATTTAGATCAGGATTTTACCACGGTACCAAACACGAGTTTCTGTCAGATGATCCGGTTTGGGTCCTTTAGGAACCGGAGCTCCTTCCAGTTTGGGCTGATGTAGAGATGAGCCAATCCGTTCTGTTGGAGCCGATAAACCTCAGGGAAATAAAACAGTTAACTTCCTGTCTGGTTAGTTTACGGTAAAACTCTTCCGAACTTCAGCACCAACCTCCAGAACTTAGTCAGAATCAGGGCTTTCTGCAGCTCCCTGAGGTTCTGCTGAGCTCTCTGAAGGTCCAAACAGCAGCTCTATCACGTTAAGGTCTGGATTTCGACTAGGCCACTGCTGCTGTTTGGGATCATGGTTCTGTTAATGACCCGGTTTGGTCCAAACTCCAGTTGGACAGATGGACGCCGAGGTTCTGGTCCACTCAGTTTTGCTCCTTGATGTTTTTAGGAAGGTGAGATTTTCCCCTAATTTTTCTAAGCGACCCAAACTTTGGCTTCTTTCTTTCCTGAACGTTCAGGAAAGAACCATCAAAGTGGTTCTGGTTCTGTTACTGGTTTTTACCTTTAAGGGATTCGTGACTAAAGAGAAAATGAAGCAAAGTCGTGTTTTAAACACTTCTTTAATCAAACAGGAAGCAGCAGTAGAATAATAATCGGACCTTAGTCCTGATGGATCCGGATCAGGACCAGGTCTCGCTCTGCAGACGGCCCGTCTTCTCCATGGCGACCAGCATCTGCTCCGCCTCCTCAGCAGAGACCCCTCCTTCCTGCTGGAACGTCTCCTTCAGAGCATCGCACACAGCAGCTGGCATCTGTTTGGCGTTCCTGCACAGAACCACAGACCTGGGTCAGCGGCGCCGGGTCAGGAGGAACCGGAGATAAAGTGGGCCAAAGTGTGGCCCTGGGGCCGTTTTATAGCCGCTAGGATGGTTTGGTGAGGCCCCCTGCTCAGACAGTTGATCCAGAGAAACATTTCTGGATGAAGATTCTGGTTGCTTCAAATAAACAAAAGAAATCTACAAGAAAATAATCAATCTGAAAAACCCAGAAGATGTTTATAGCAAAAGGTTCTGATATTTCTGGTCTGGAGAAAAAAAAAATGTGGTCCAAATAAAAAAAACATGTTTCTGATTTCTGTTTTTTTCCTCTTTGGAAACAAAAGTTCTGAATATTTTGTTGTGAAATGAGCAAATATTCTCAGGATGCAGTAAATTCTGATAAATTGTCACTTTAAGCTGAAAATTGGACCAGAACCTTAAAGTCCGACCATATTCAGAATTCAAACTTCTGAAAATACTTTAAATCTGAAATGATTCCATCCTGTTCAATAAATGATCAGTGTTTTTAATTCAGAGTAATTTTCATGTGAATGTGCTTTACTGGAGGCATCCATGTTTGTCAAAGAACACTACTGCCACCTACTGGTTAGTGACGTCACGGTGCGGTATCGGCTGTTGATCAAGTCCCAGTGCTGTATCTGGTGTTTGTCACAACGCGCTATTATCCAAGTCATCTTGAAAACATTCTTCCTCCAAATGTTGGCTACATATTACGGGTTTTTTCTCTGGCCAGAAGTTCGATGGTAAATCCTCCCTCTTCAAGTTGGCGATCCAACCAACCCGTCCGTGGAGGATCAGGAATCAGAAAGGTGGAATAACTCTTTTTTTCACTTTTACCCGATGTATTCCAGCATCCAGCTGCCATGCACGTGGGCATTGTCAGTTTCACTATAGCTCTGGTGAATTTCAATGATGAAGTCCTCTGGAAATCTTCAATAATTGTTGTTGATTGCAGATGTGTCTAGTAGTTCCCATTGATTTAGCTTGGAAAGCGGGGAGAATGGCGCTAGGCTTACCGCACCGTGACGTCACTGCTGGAAGATGGCTGGAGGGAGGGGCTACTATATTTGGGCAAAAATGGCCGCTCCCAGACTCAATGATCAGGATGAAAAATATTTTTATTTTTTTACTGATTAACACTACATTAATTAAATTACTGCGAACGTATCAGTTTTATGTATAAATATAGATCCATTGATCATTCCTCGCTGATCAGACTTCTCCTTTAAACCCAGAACCTGGGTTCTTCAGACTCACCCAGCGATGTAAAAGCAGGCCTTCCTGTTGGTTATCAGATCCCAAAGCAGCGGCGCCGCCTCCTTCACACGGTGCTGGACGTACACCTTCTCCTCCTGAAAACAGACGGGAGAAATCCACCATCACACATCTACTGGGTCATAACCGAGCCCTCAGCGGGTCGGTTCATCCGTTTCAGGGGCGTTCTGACCTGGTCTCTAGAGAAAGCCGTGAAGAGTCGCAGATTACCGGCCTTCGTCATGTCCTCCCACTCAGAGCGGAAGTAGAAGTCTTTGGACTCGGAGCGGCAGCCGAAGAACAGAACGTTGGCTGGAGAGGAGGATGGAGAGGAGGAAAGGGTCTCAGAGGGATGACAGGAAACAGAACCAAGAAGCAAAGATCTCACCTGTTCTCCCCTCAGAAACTCTCTCCTGCAGCGCTGACCTGAAGGGGGCGACTCCTGTTCCGGGTCCCACCATGATCACAGGAGTTTCCTGTTCCTTAGGGAACCGGAGGCTGCCCTTCTTGACCCACAGGGGGACCCGTACCTCTCCTAGAGGAGCACCATCATCAAGCTGTCAGGTTTTATTCGTACGCAGGTCAAAGCCCCCGTCACACCTTGATTATTAAGACCAGCGTATGAAAAATCTGGAAAAAACGCTGGCATACGTTGGATAAGTTTTGCAAAAGTTATGAACACGCTAGAGTACGCTGAAACACATCGACATACAGCGAGTACGTCAGGAAATTTTGGACATAATTTCTGACGTATGCTATACGTGGGGCAGACGTTACAGGTAAGTTATCGGATCGTTGACGTACGTTAAGTGTAAGTTACTCATAAAGGCCTGGTTATCAGCAGTGTGTCGCAGTGAAATTGTCACAGATATTTTTGATATTCCACGCCAAAACGCAAAAGGGACAATCAGTAACTAGCTGTGGGTCTAGATACGGCCAAGGAGGTGAGGAAGTGGGGGGAAGTTTGTGCGACAACGGAGGGACATGAGGGCCAAAAAGAGCGGGGATCCAGGTGGAAAAAGGGTCCCAGCGTTCTCACACACCTAGCTGGTCCATTTTTACGAGTCGTTTTCCACAATGGGGGTCATACAAACAAAACAAGCCGCTAAGGTACCAAACAGGAAATACGCATAGAGTATAGCGGATGTAGATTTGACCAATCAGAGGCCTCCTGTCTGCGGTCACCTACAATTTGGGAGAGGTGTCTGCGAAAGAGACACTCGGGTCATTTGCTTTCATGGCGAGGCACACGCAGACTAACCCGGTTTCTAAATCAGCCTTAAGTCATGGTGGCTAAATCGGCAAGATGTGACAGGGGCCTAACATTCAGTCGGTGCAGTAAACTCAGATCATTTACCAAAATGATCAATTTGTCCTTGTCAACTCAACTTTATTGTCAAATGTGCTACATGGTAAACATACAACACAGATGAAATTGCAGTCCTCTCAACCCCACGGTGCATAATAAAATATAATGAACCATAGCATAAAAAAAAAAAAAAAAAACTTAAGATATTAAAAAAATAAATATAGGTATCTGCTCGGATAACTAAAAATCTAACAACGAACTAGTTTAAATACTAAAGAAGATTACAAATGTGCAGATGGGAAGTGTAACGGTAAATTTTTACAAAGTAACATTACAGTGGTCCTGATGGATGACTAGTGCAAATAGTCAATGTAAACGATGTAACTGTAACAGCAATTATTATTACTGCACAGTACAGTGGCTATAGTGCAAATAATGCAGATGGTAGCATGAGCTGAGTAGCAGTCATGATGTCTGCAGTGCAAACAGTAGTGCGAATGGTTCCAATAGGCTTGTGCACACAGTTTAAAGTTGCTGTTTGCTTCGCTCATACAAGCAGTTTTTCCACTATGTCGGACTGACCACCAGTAAATGAGAATGGGGACGAGCAAATAGGACGGCCTGACGTAAACATAACACCAGAATGATTGGCAGTTAGGAGGACAGTAGATGTCCATTTGCTGCACATGTTCAGAAAGGTCCAAACAGACAGCAGCAAACCATTTGAAAACAAACCATGCAAAGAGCAGTGTTGCCAACTTAGCGCTTTAGGCCCCGTCCACACGAACTCAAAACGAACACGAAACGCTTATATTTTCCAGAACGTTTGCCGTAAAGACGGAGACGTAAAATAAATGTGAGCGTCCACACGAATGCATGAAAACGCTGCAAAATGTATACCAGGCCTGTAAGTGGCGCTGTGGTGCCAAACCAAAAATAGGCGACGAAATGTTGGGCATGCGCACTAATATTTATACATGGTTGCCCTGCGGGTCCATTTTCGTGGTTCAGTCAAATTCAGGTGCTGAACTATGAGGTTGATATTGCTCTGTTCTTCCTGGAGATATTCCAGAAGAAGAAGATTCTGTTGTAAGCCCGACAGCAGGGTGAGTAGCATTAGCAGCAACCATTCAGCACAGTACGGCGCCATTGTTGTTGTGATACTGTGTCGGGCATGCGTGTTTAGAGGCGACGCTATGACGCATGCGTGTAAAAAAAAAAAAAAATGCAGTTAGAGCTTAAAGATGGAAACGCGAAAACGGCGTTTCAAAATCTTCCCACTCTGAAGGCTGAATAAAAAAAAGATCATTTACAGACCCCCGAAACGCCGGCTTCGTATGGATGAGAGGCTGGTTTGGTGAAACGGATGGGGCCTTAGTCGCTATATTTAGCCACTTTTCAGACCCCTCTAGCACTTTGATTTCTAAAAAGCTCCTAGCGCCAAATCTAGAGACTTTTTTCTGCTACTGGAGACTTTGGAGACAACATCTAAAAGCAGCGAACTCTGCTCTCCAGAGCGAGTAGATTGGTAACCCCGCCTCCTGCTATCCTCTATCTTGTCTGCTGTCATGATTCATGCAGCTATTATTTCATCCAAATGAAAAATGGAGAACAGATAAGCAGATCATGGCTTGTCTACAGTGAAAAGAAGGACTGGGTTATTTACTTTGGCCTTTTTGGAAACACAGGAAGGAGCAATCAGCTAAGTGAGCTTAGTGCTTGGAAAAAATCTTTCATTCCTTTAGAGACAGCATGAAAAGTCAGCTGAGTACAAAACATAGAGAGGAAAACAAGAAGAAAAGGGACAAGAAGAGAGGGACACAACCTAGAACAGATAATGGATGTTTATTCTATAAACATTTCTTTTCTGTAGAATGGGGCTGTTTCCAAAAATGGAAAAAGAATGACTGATGATGCAGACCTTGTTCAGGGTCCAGAGAGGCTAACCATGAGGAGCAGAGGCCTCTCCTGGGTTTGTACAGCTTGGTTTTATATCGGACCACGGCGACGAGGACCTGCAGCCTGTTTGGGTGAGCCTGCAGAGAGACACAGCGGGTCAGAGGTTTCCTACAGGGGAGATCCTGCCGGTTCTGGACCAGGAGGTACCTTAAGAGAGGAGGCGATGGAGAAGGACCGGGGTTGGATCTCCGGGAACAGATCCAGGAGGTGATCTGCTCTGATTTCTGCTGTGGTGTGAGGAAAATCTGACAGAACCTGCAACAGCAGCAAGAACCCAGCTCAGATTTTGTACATTTAGGTTCAACAATCTGCTCAGAACCAGCGGCGGTTCTCGGGGTCACCTCCAGCGCCGTGCGCCGCGGCCGGTTGCAGTAGCTGTGCAGCTCGTCCTGTCCGGCCGCCGAGCTGAACTCGGTCAGTTTGTCCCGCTCCAGCTCGTTGGTGGCGAGGGTGGACAGCAGCTCGAAGAAGGAGCGGCGAGGCACGGCGGCGATGTCCAGGTAACGCTCCACCAGGTGGCGCACTGAGCAGGGCTGAGGCAGTCTGGGTGGAACTGGATCAGAGTAGAACAACTGAGCTCAAACATGTTGGGATTTATTTCTGCTAAAAGCTGGAGAAATAAATCCTAACAGCCGATAAAAATACGATGACTCTCCAGATCCATCAGACGGCTCTGCAGGAGTACCTGGAGCGTCGCCTGTGGCTCTGAGACAGAACCTGGACTCCGGGTCCAACCGGAGCAGCTGGCAGAAGAGCTGCACGTCCTCTGCAGAGTTCTGGGGATGCATCATCACCACGTCTCCAGCTGCAAAGCTGCCAAACGAAACCAGAGACGAATGAGTCAGAACCAGGAAACAAAACAAAGGCTGTTTGTCAATCTGTGTACTTATGCGTTCTCATGTGCTGGAAAAACGCCATCATCCTCAGCCCTAGCACTGTTCTAATTCATAAGAACAAGAAGACAGACAACGGACCAAATCCTTGGATGTTGTTCTGGCCCCTCCCTCTTTACCCAGCATGCATCAGAGCAGACTTGTCCATTCTAAGTTAGCGCTCACAGAGCTCAGAGTATCAAGTTAAAAGTTCTCTTTTCTTTTGCTGTTGTTCTATAAAAGTGCGTTTTAAGATCATTTAAGGCGAGAATGTTATACTTTAAGCGTCACTATATGGAATATTTACTGATTTAATGCGTTATTTAATTTGGATTCACCGTAAATTAGGGATGGAACGGTTTATGAAAACCGTCCGAACCGTTCGGTTCAACTGTCCCGGTTCGGTTCGCGTGTGTTGCGTTCGGTTCATGCGCTGCTCCTTTTTCTCATAGGCGAAGCGTTTACACTCCAGAGCAGAAGGTGGCGGTACTGCGACCAAAGCCAACCACCAGTAGTAAACAAGAAGAAGAAGAAGCGAAGCAGCGTAGCCGGGTGTAGCAGAAAAAAATCAGTTGTTGTGGAGAATTGTGTGGGTATGGCGAGTGGGAAAGAACAGGAGTTGGAAGACGCACCAGCAGCACTTTATAGGTCTGCTGTATGGGACTAGCCTCGTGAGACCATCCTGATGTCGCGAGCTTTCAAGATTTCACTCGCTAATCAGTCTGGAGACTCTCCGTTAAAGAAAATTTGGAGCCGTTCACCAAACGAACGTCCAATCAGCGTTGGCTTTGAGGCGGGTTGAGGTGTGATGCAACGAGAAGCGCGACAGTTCAGTCTAAAGAACATGGCGGCTTCAGCCGATGAAACTAGCGTTAGCGTGGCTATCGAGCAAGTTTTATAGGAATTACAGAGTATTTCTTCACTGAAAGAAGAGCAAAACACTGCTCTGGAGGCTTTTCTCAGAGGAAAAGATGTTTTTGCTCTTCTCCCGACTGGTTTCAGCAAGAGTTTAATCTATCAATTGGCTCCTCTTCGTCGTCGCTCTGTTAAGTCATATGCTTCGTTGATCTGATTGGTTTATTTGGCCCGTCCATCACCAACATAGGCCAATCAGCTAACCAGTATTTTCGCCCCTTCCCAAAATTACTTCAACAGAAGGTTTCCAGATGGTTATGAGGAGCAAATCCATCTGGCGGAGTCAGGTTAGTATGGGACCACTTTGCATTTAGAGTGACCTACGATGACGGCGGAAAGAAAGTTGTGGATAAAAGTGCAACAGTGTGCAAGCATTGTGCAACACGTTTTGTTTATGCTAACAGCAACACGACCAACATGTCAGGCTAACAATCAACATATACCGAACCGTGGATTTTGTGAACCATTCCACCCCTACCGTAAATAAAATCTAACCAGGTTTTCTCATCTCTATTTTCTCATTTTCTTACTCAATGTTGGACCCGCTGATGTCAAACTCTATGAGTCTGACGTCCTGGAAGTGTGACGGCTCCGTGACTCTCCTGTTGAAAAGCATCCTGGCCTGAAAAGGACGGGACTCTGAGGGGACGGCCTGCTCCGATTCGATCCTCGCCGGATCGTCTCTCTGATCCGTCTTCTCATCCAGGAAATGGAAGGTGAACGATGGAGGGAGTCTGTGGCACAAACAGGAGAACTGTGACAGAACCTTTAAACTCCGCCTCAGAACAAGCTGCCGGTTCTGATCACTCACGGCTCGTCGTCCCTCAGAGGTTTCAAGTCGGACAGAGACGGATGCAGAACCAGCACCTTTTCCCAAAACGAGCGGAGCCACGGGTCGATCACAGCATCCGGCCTGTTTCAGACAGCAGGAGAAGAGTTTAACTCCCGGATCTGATGTTGGTTCCAGAATGAAGGTGGGAACATCTCACCCTAGGTCATGCTGATCATCTGCCAGCCCCACAGGGATTAGCATCCCTGCTCCCAGCTGCAGGAGACGCTTGTGGAGCTTCTTAGCAACAAAATTAAACCTGAAGCAGGGAAACAGAAGATGGAGTTTAAAATTTAAAATTTTATTTTATATAACCAAGCAGAAAATCATCCAAGTTTGTCCAACTGGCTTCATTTAAGTCCCGAACCAGATGAGCTCCAGTTCAGCCTAAAGTCCTGACCCGTATCTAGGAATTTGTTGGAAATTAGGACACATTTACAAGGAAAATTTGATAAAATCTCAGTGGCCGACGGATACAAACACGCTGCAAACACACAAATTATGCTAAATCCAAAGACACAAACAAAAAAAAACCTAAACAACTACAACAGATGCTACAAATGAGATATAATAAAGGTACAATGCCACAGATTTTTGATTAATCGAGGGGTTTTGATTATATCTCCATGTAATGATGCATTCTGGAATAACTAAACGGCTTAACGTCTTTCCGTAAACTGTGTATACTCGACGTCCCAGAATCTCCTAAAACGCCGGCAAACGCTGAACTCTTTATGTATTTAATCAATTTTGCCAGCGTGCTTCATCATGCTCATAACTTATACAAAACGTACCCAGAAGTTTTCCGACTTATGCCAACGTTTCTGCCAGATTTTCCATACGTCAGGCATACGCTGGTCTAAATTATCAAGGTGGGACAGGGGTTTGAGCTCCAACACAGCCACATCCAGTCCACATTAACAGATTTTATAAAATGTTTGTAAAACTTCGCTTTGCTCTCTCCTTCTGTCCTCGGTTCCTGCAATATCAGTGCAGCTTCACTTCGTTCAAAACACACCACTGCATCTCCGACCGTTTCATTATTCCTGAACGTGCCTCTATGCACAGATGAAACGGAAATCATTCGCTCCTGTCACCACGTTAGTGTTTGTTGCACTGACCTGCTAATTGGGTGCAGCCCAGGGCGGGGCTATTAGTGTGGACACCTGAAGTGTTTTGCCTCACATTGGTGAAGGTATAAATTATACTTATGCTACGTTCACACCGGACGCAGCAAAAGCAGCAAAATCGCGTCTGCTGCTTCATTTTTGCTGCTTGTACCAGTTAGTTCTGCCGCGCGGCTGAAGCAGCTTTGCTGCTCTGGCTGCGCGGTGCAAAAGTGTGTCTGACGCACGTTGGGCGGAGCTTCACTATCCTTTCTTTGCCTTGCAGCTATATTTGCTGTGATCAGTGGGAATAAAGTAGTTTTAATATGTTTTTAAATGGGAAAATCCACCTGAAAACTTCATCAGTGCCGTAAGTTCATCCAGATTACCATCCTGCCTTCTAATATTATTTCTGTCGGAGCCGCTCAGACCCCCACATACCGGCGGTGCGCCGACAGTAGGAATCTCTTCATCAGCAGCCTCTGGCCGGGTCGCCTCCTCGCGGTTCACCGCGGCAGCTGGTAGGTGTTTTTCATCTAAATAATCCAAACTGCAGGCAGCAGGATAATAAAAGCGAACATATTCTGCCGGCAGATTTCTGCATTTTAAGTTAATTTATGCGTCAATAAACTGTTTCAGAGGAGTGATCACAGCGCTCTGTGTCTCTCTCCCTGCCAGCTCCCAGATCAGCTTCTCTGATTCGTTGACGCGGCGAGCAGCAAAAGTTACATTTTTCCATCTCGAGCAGCAGCGCGTTTGCGGCGCGTCAGATGCTTAAACGCGCCCGACGCGCTGCGCCTGCTGCTCAAAACGCGCCGCGGGACCTTTTGCTGCGCCTTGACGTGCGTCAACCATTGACTTTGCATGTAAACTCGCTGCTTCTGCTGCGCCTGCTGCGTCCGGTGTGAACGTAGCATTAGGAAAGCAGCTGCTAATTTCTTGAAAGTTGTGTGAGAGACCCGTGCTGACAAGTAGCTGCAGAGAATTTAGGGCCCATGTCAAAAAACTGAAGAGGCAGCTGGTAAGAAATCTGAATTTTATAGGAACTTACTGCTACTGCTCTTTCATTATGTGTAATTTGAGTGAAGTCGTCCTCATTTGATTTATGCTCCTTGATTTGAAAATGTCTGCAGTGGTGTAAATAATTTGGGAAATGTGTATCCATGTTGTGCTGTAAGGTATTTAAGATTAAATGTCTGGGCTAGGTGCAATATTGTGGTACATTTTGTAAAACTGTCAGGTGTATATGAAAATTAGATTGATTCAAGTATTTTGATTTCATTTATAGTTTGTGTGTCCTGAATAGTATATGTTCACTAACAAGCATAACTTTCTTTCTTTCCGAAGGTTTTTACCTGACTGCTGTTAAGACTGACCACAAAATGGGGAAATAAAAAGAATGGAATGCAGCTACTGAAACGCTTGACAGTGTTTGAGGTTAATATACTTTTATATGACATTTGTTTAGATATATTTGTGTAATTTAGGAGTTTCCATAATTTGCGTTGCAGCTTGTTTGGATCCTAAATGCAGGAAACTGGGAAAAGCTGATTTAGAAACAGTTTTGGACAAATCTTATGAAAAAATTATTCATTTTAGTCAATATGATATCATTTTAATGTTAACATAAAGAAAAGCTTTAGACAGTCTGACAAGAAAGCAAACAGAATCAACACTGCAAAAAATTTCAATCTAAATAAGTCATTTTTTCTTCAAATAAGTGCTTTTTTTCTTGAATTTAGGCAGTAAGTGAAATGGAACAAGGCAGTTTAGATTTAAAATAAGAAAAAAAGACAAATGCATTGTCTTAATTCAAGTGCATATTATTATCTTATTTTAAGATAAACGTGATTTATGTAAATGTCAATTTTTGCAGTGTTCCTAAGGTCAACCAAAAATTTAAATCTTTGTTTAAAAAAAAAAAAGCAAAACAGATTAAAACGTTAAAATGCTTCGATCATAGACTTTAATGTACATTAAAATATTAGAAACTGGTTTTTAAGTCATATCACTGCTATGAAATAAAAGTATATTGCGATCTATATTGGTACGGAATTTATAATTAAGTATTATTATTATGATACCTCAGTGTAAACGGATGGATTTATGCAGAGAGATGAAGCCAATGAAACAGAAAACCTGTTTGCATTCAGACTCTCATGTAGGATAGAAATAATTCCCATAATTGAGGACTAACTTTGGATAAGAGGAGTCTCCCAATCCTAGAACCGCACAGTCTAGACAGCTCAGAGATCCAACAGGCAGAGACTTCCTGAAGAGAAACCTCCAGAAGTTCTGGGAAGAAATGGAAAAAAGAAATGACTCAAACAGTTTTCTTCTCATGTGGAGAAAAATCTGAATGAGAAGAAAAAAAATAACCTCCAGAGAAAGAAACTTTGCTTCATTACTGAAATAAACATGTACCTTCATGTTGTCTGGAGGGTCTCCCTGTCCTGTGGTGGAACAGACAAAGACCACCAGAGACTCCGAAATCAGGTATGCCTGGAGGAGGAAACCAACAAGCTTTACTGGTTTATATCAGAGACACAGGAGGTCAAACTGGGATCAGACATCAGGCTCTTTCACTGATTCCAGGCCTTAAATCAGTCCTCTTCAGCAACAGGACTTTATAGAACATTCAACCAAGAGCGGCTGGTCTGTATTCTCTACGTTCTCAAGAGTCTTTGCTTCTGTCTGTAACTAGTGTCCGCACTGAAGCTGGAAAGACAGCTTTTCAGTACTCTGCCCCCACAGCATGGAACAATCTTCAGAAAGACTGGAAGTTGAAGGATTTGATTCCAATCGACATTTTAAACGATTGCTCAAAGGTTTGGAAATGAGATCTATGCTTTGTAACTGTTTTATGAATTTCTAATTATAGACAGGTGTAATTGTAAACTGTAATGTAATTTGTAATGTAATCTTTTGCCGCTGTCTTGGCCAGGACCCCCTTAAAAAAGAGATTGTTAATCTCAATGGGACGTTTCTTGGTTAAATAAAGGAATAAATAAAAATAGAATATTAGAAACATAAAGAAACTCCTTTAAGCGCCACAATAAACAGACTCACCACATTGTAACCATCCAGAGGAAGAACCCGGACCTTCAGATGCCTCCTCTGGGCTTGCCGGCCGATCCTGTGGGCCGTGTCCTGGGCCGTCCCGGTCTGACTTCCATACAGAACCAGCAGAGCCGGATCTGACATCACTTCTGAGCCAGAGCCCACAATAAAAATAAAATAAAATAGAAAAGCAGAATAAACACAAAGATAATCTCATCTTCTCCCTTTTTATATGGAATACATCCAGTCTGCTGACATTTTGACTCATTAAGGAACAATCTAAACAGAAGTCTGACAGATGGAGCTGAAATCAACAAAAAGATCTCATCTCTGGACAGTTTATTAAATTAAATTCTCTCAGTTTACACATGTTTCCATTGTTTGGATCCTCCTGCGCTGAATAACTTCAATAAACCAGATTAAAAAAGGTCCACAAGAACCAGTGGACCGACAGATCCAACAGGAAAGGCCCTTCAGACTGTAAGCCAGATCATACCTGCTCATCTCTAGCTTAGCTTCCAGGCTGCTGTTAGCATCAATCAAACAGGGGATGCTAGCTAATCAGCTGTAGACTAATTAACTTGTTTTTATCTTTTATTTCATTCAGTTATGTTACATTATGCCAAAGACTAGATAAAAAACAGCATATCTGAGAATGCAGCTTAAACATGATGAACATTAATTACTTCCAATCTGTCCTGCCTTAAAAAAAAAACAGTTAACAGCCAAATACCAGACATCATTATTATATATTATTGATACACTTTCAGCTAACAGCGATAAACACATATAGGTTTATGTTTCCAACTGAAATTACCTTAATTTCTGATCAATGTTGTGTTTTTTTTTTAGTTTAAGACACCCTTACAAGATTATATCCAGGAGTAAAAACAGAGGAAGTTTAGCAATTGGATCTCAGACAGCTAAATGCTAGCTGATGCTAACAAATTAAAAAATGAGAATTAATACCAGTTAGTTTATATTTCCTCGCGTTTTAAACCCACAGAACGAGATAAGCTACACGGATAAATTATTTACCAGCGCTGTCTTGGTCAGGAGGAATGGCTTCAAACGAAAAGGCTGAATAAAGTCAACAAGAGCTGGAACTTTACGAAACACTTTACGGCAGCTCGGCTAGCTGAATGCCCGCTACATTCAAGGACCAACCCAAAAAATGGGACAATACAGATTTATAACAAAAAAGCACGTTAAAATCGCAGAATATTGTTGAAAAGTTAATTAATTAGAGGAAGAGAGCACACAGAATGCTGTTTTCAAACCTTTATTTTACTAATAATTCTAGTTCTACTAATAATATTGCATAAATAAAAACAATTACATCAGACTAAAAGCGATCACAACACATAAAGATTTCTATCAAAATAATAGTTAGAATGACCCATGAAATTGAAAAAGATTTTATGTCAGTCATTAGCTGATATACTAAATAACAATATAATAATTTACAATTATAACTAATGTTCATAAATCAGGCTCACAGTCTTAAACATCTCTTGCTAGATTTTGAGATGTTTGTCTAAGTTGTTTTCCTCTGCAGTAAATCATTACCTCAACATGTTATAATCATGTGATTCCCTATAGATTAGGCAATGTTTCCCTCTAAGGTTAAATCTACAGAAGCAACAGGATGATTTACTGGAAAAGCTCAACTTCTGCTTTACAGTATTTTTTGTTTACTTCCAATATATGACCAGTAGATGGCAGTGTTTGATGAGACAACCTGGGAATCAGTGAAGTGGTTTGCAATAATAGTATCAGCAGCCATAAATATTACATGAGAAGCAGCTTCTTAAAATTTGTCCAAAGCATAAAAGGGTTAAAAAAGGACTGACTTTACCTCCCAGAAACCTTTAAGGCGGTTCTCATCAGTAGTTTCTGAAGGTGGATAGGGTTGGATTTGACCTTTTCCCTGACCTCCAGTCCCCTCATTCTGATGGACCCAGGTTGCTAGTTAGGGTTAGTGAAACCTTTATATTAGGGTTAAAACACCAAAATAATAAACCACAAAAAGACATAAGCCTAAAAAACAGTAGATACTCCATTTTCATCTTCATTTTGCTTATGCAGCTATTTTCTTTTTTGTTATTAAACCTGTATTTATGCAGGTGGGCTTAATAAAAAAATTTAATCTCATGAACAAAACCGAACTATTCAAATGTCTGAAATAAAGTAAATAAAATAAAGTAAATAATAAATCCTTATCAACATGAAGCTTTTATACTAAAGCTGACCTGCTAAAAGCGCACAAGACCGGATTTCAAAGCAGGACAGAACAGGATATTTAGCAAAACACCACAAATAAAGTGAGTTTATATGCCAAAACTTTTGGATAAATGTTCTCAGAGTAAAGTACTTAACTGATAATAAGGCTACATTACAATTAAACTGGGATTATGCTCTCGTTTCTAATTTGAAATCAGATTATTTTAAGAGCATTTGCTATTTAACTTTTTGCTGTTAAATGTGCTAAAACTGAGAACAAATCTTAGACATAAAGAAGCTTCAATCCAGCCTTACAGCTTAGTCTATTGTTGATACAATGAAAGAGGAAATGTGTTCAGACAGGGAACCACACCTTAGTACAGTAGGGGGTGGAGCCTCGGGTTTACCTGGTCAGATGAAGAAAGGTTGACTCTATTTACAAACAGAAGAGAAGGATCTGGATCAGGGTGAGTGGAAACTTCTTTGCCTTTTATCTTTTTATGGGTTTTCTGTCTGTGATCTGTGGAGGGATCCAGAACCAGAACTCAGTCTGGTTCTCATTCAGAGCCAAGCTGCTGCTTTTCCCTATGAGAATCGTATTTCCTGTTATAAAGCTGCAGCCTTTCTCCACTGTGTTTAACTGGTGCACTTTTTTATTGATCTACTAATTGTTCCTCATGATGTTAAATAGCACTGACGTCAGAAGCTCACATCCTGTCTTTAGATTAATAATTGAGCTGAATCATTAAAATGGTTTCGAGGATGAAGAACCTGAAGTATGAAGATGCTCGTTCTTTGCAGCAGCAGTCGGATATTTCTGTACAATCTCTTCATCCACATCCATGTCCGCACTCTTCTTTGATCAAGGGCTCAGTTGACAGTCCACAGCAATAGATATCATTGCAAACACAACCTGGAAATCTAACCTTTACGGCCCTGAGAGATATGTTTACAAAACAGCAGTTCATCCGGTTTAGCAACATTCATCTAATGCTTTGCATGTTTAATATGCAAAACAATGGAGCCTCCCCAGTGAAGCAATCATACCAACCAGTTTACAGCTACCGTATTTTCCGCCACTATAAGCCACTACTTTTCTCTAATCCTTTGAACTATGTATTGTAGTCAAAATCTGGCTTGTTTATTTTTCATGGGATGAAAGAAAAGTAAAATACAAATTCTTTAAAACAGTACTTATGTAAGGTACCCAAAAATATTAACCCTGGGATTTAGGTATCAGTTTCCTGCAAATGAAAATATGAGTCATAAGGCATATGACTATATTTAGACTATATTTAGTGTAGTTCAGACCAAAGAGAAGAATCAAGATCAACATTAGTGTTACCTTCTTCAGGATTCTCTCCTCAGTGGGTTTTCTCTCTGTAGATTGTAGAGGGAGCCACATAACTGCAGTAAAAGCAACAAGTAAAAGTCACTTGATTTGACCAGATTAGAAGATTTGTTAATAGAATAGAATATATTATGCTTAACCTAATCCTTTATAATGCAGGTTACAGTTTTTGCTCACATACATACCCCTTACAAATGGAGTCCCCCCGTCCCTCGGTGAGTTCTAAAGGCACAAGATCTATATCCAGTCATTCAGCATATATTCTGCTACATGGCTGTACATCTGATTTTGGCATTTGACCAATCAGATGAGCCCTTGAATGATTACTACTGTAAATGAAGTTGAAAAAAAAAAAGTTAAGTCATAAAAAAGGTAAAAAGCCAATTGAAAAGTTAAAAAATAAAGCTAACAAGTTAATAAGCCTAGTTAACAATTATATTTAGGTTTATAAACTTAAAAAATGTAAGTGCCACTATTAAGCATTAATGCCTCTAAGGTTATGTTGGACCCCCAAAAAAAAAAATTTCTTTCACTTTAAGAGTGTTTTTTATGAATTTCTTATAGAAGCACATTTTCTTATTTTATTAATGTATTCGGGTAAGTTGGCGTTTCTTGTTGTTAAATTGACATTAATTTTTGCCATCAAAATATCCATATTTTTTGTTGTTACAAAGGTAATAAGGTCTTGTCCTGGATTTCAATAACACTATTGGCTTGAAATGTTGATTTTTTTTTTTTTTTTTTTTTTTTTTAGCAATGAGTGTCCTATAGAGGGTAAAGAAAATAATGTTGTTAAAATTAACTAAAATGTTGTTTTTGTATTTTAAAGCTACATTTTGGACTATGAAAAAATGTAAAAACTAATCATCCAAACGGCATTTTCAGTTTCTTCAAGAAGAGAATGAAAATACAGGCTTGTAATTCTATTTGAAATTCAATCTGTGAGACAAGAAATAAAGATTTGACCTTAAAACATAAAAAGGACTTCTATTAATGCATTTAATAATTTTCTAAATTAGAAATTTTAAAATGTATTTCTCTTCAAAACTGTGATGTGAGTCACCTGCTGGAACAGGAACTTTCTGTGATCAGAACTCCAAGTTACAGGGCCAACAATATTACCTCAATTACAGAGGAGAAACACGAAAACATGTTAGGACATCACGTAAAGCATGTAGTTATCAGCTCTGGGCAAGATTCAGCTGGACACTTGAATCTCAAAAACACACCAAAAGTGTGTCCTTTGAAGAACAAAGTTTTCAGATGTTGGACAGAGAGGACAGATGGTTTGAAAGAAGAGTCAAGGAAGCTATATTTGTGAAAATACAAAAGCCATCACTGAACAGAGGGGGAGGGTCGCAGTTTCAGCTTTCAAGCATTTACAGTTCAAACATGGAATTCATTTCAAAGAAGTAACTTACATTATGATTCAAAAGACCAATCACAGATCCCATGCACAACAAAAGGCTCCAACATTCCAGTTAAACAAAGATTGGCTAATTTATCCGCATCTGACTTGGAATGCCTGAAGGACGTTGGTCCTCTATGCGTTTCAAATATATAAGCGTTTTAATTAGTTTGCTCTGGTGTGAGCCAAAAGAATTTACATAATAAGAATTAATTTATTATAATAATAAATTATAAGAATTTACATAATAATAATTAATGTATCATTTCAATTAATTTACAAATTAGGCAGTCTTAGAGAAGAAAATAAAATGCTGTTTGATTTTTTTTATTTATTAGTAAAAAAAATGCAGCTGTATTTTTCATAATGAAACATAATTTAAAACATTACATTTTAATTAGAAAATCAGAAAACATTTGCTTCCATATCCCTTCAGTTTTTATTCTTTATATCTTCAAAAAAAAAAAATCTTTTCATTTTCTCGAAGTCAGACTGAAAGTGAAAGACAGAGCTTCTGTTTCTCTTAATGAGAATTTAGGATCAAATTGTTTGTTCAGATTCTTTAGCCAGCAGCTGACAGGCAGTGATCCTGGTTTCTCTCAGACTGACTGAAGCCAAAAGATTGACGATTGTAAGCAGGAACAGAAGGACAGAGCAGATAAAGTCATTAATTATCTAATAATAAAGAATAAGTCAATGGTCTGACTCAAAACTCCAGATATGAAACTTGAAAATGGAAGTTCTGTAGGATTGACCCAGCAGAGGTCAGAAAGTGTATGAAGCAGTGAAGGAATTGACGATCAAACCCAGATGGTATCTGCTATAATTACTTAGAATTAGACTTAGACAGACTTATTTGTCATTTTGTTTACACAAGTGTAAAACAAAAAGAAATTTCGTTTGGAACAGATCTCTGGACAATTTTTTTCTTGTGCAGCCTTAAAAAATAGTAAAATATGTAAATAAAAACAGCAACACATGACTGTAAATTTACAGTTCTAACATTTTCATTTTTTCTTTTAAGGTTACATAAGGTTTCATAAGGTTCCTCTAGTTCTCCACACACATAATACTTTACTGGACAGCTAGTAGATCTGATCTTCTGGGAACTGATTGATTTTATTTTCTCTACCAGACAGACTGAAGCCGAGAAGATGGAAAATCCGCATCA